AATAATAAAAAAAGGGGAAAGAAAAAGGAAAGAAAAAGAGAAAAAACGTATAGATATAAAATTTTCTTTTCTATATATATATATATTAATAATAATAAAAGGTTATTCTTATTTCTAATAAACTCGAGAGTAAGAAACGATTTAATAAATTGTTAATAGGAAGATGAATCGCCTGGTTATCGTACTTACCCTCATCAAAATAGCATATGGCCTGGTAGGATATGACTGCAATGGCAACCACCTCAACGTTACCACTATCTCTCTAAACTCCATCGGTGACTGCAGCATACAGCCTGCGATGACTGAAACCCAAGATATTTATATTCAACTATTGCAACTCTCAGAATTCGAATTTACCAGCGTAAGGCAATGCAAGGTGCAAATAACTCGAATTATATATTACTGCGGCATGCACTCCCACATGTCGGCAGTGCATAACGGATTCGGCGAATACCTCCATGAAACAACCGCCCAACAATGTGCAAGGATGCACCAAGACGGCACGTTTTCACTCGGGCCACAAAACCTTATAGTAGGCCTAAAGGATAACGCAACAGAAACAAGCTCGCTTGTCCTAGCCAACAAGTTAACAGACGACGGCAGCTGCCAGGGAACGCAGTATGTAGACCCATATGGGAGCTGGGAAAAGGTCGTCGTATAAGCCACAGTAAGGATAAGTTTAAAATCAGCAGTTGTGCCAGTACGGATCGAGGCGAACAAAATTATACTGAAATCAGGAACGGTATGTACCTTTAGCGAAGGAAACTGTCTAGACGCTGAAGACGGATACACTTATTGGCAACCACAACCACCCTCACCATGCAAATTTGATCAATACGATGTGCTATATGAAGGAATTGCTACAAAGATCCAGGAAATAAAAACCAACAGGGAATCAGCACAACCAGTTTACGCACTAACAACGCAGGAAGTAACATTTGCACTGACCAAAACTGGAGAACAGCCACTGTGTGGATATACCCTACTATCCACTGAACATCCCAAATTATTCCTGTTAGAAACAACAAGAGGAAATACGTTTATCTCCAAAAGCAAGACAGCAGTAGAAAACTTGGTCATATTCGCATATGTCAACTCAAAATTCATTTACGTAGAGAAACATATTAAGCGACAAATGACAACACTATACCATGATATACTGACACAAAGATGTACCACGCAGAAGAAATTAATAGAGAATGCTTTAAGCTTAGCAATCCTACTGCCCGATGAATTTGCATACATCATAACAAAAACTCCAGGACACATGGCCCTGATCGCAGGAGAAGCGGTCCATATAGTCAAATGCATTCCGGTACAAGTAAAGGTACGACATACAACAGAATGCTACTCGGAGCTACCCGTTTGGCAAGGGAATCGCAGCGCATTTTTAACTCCAAAAACACACATCCTAACGCAACACGGAAACCACAGAGAATGTAGCGCAGTACTACCTACGCTATACAATATCGACGGACTCTGGCACAAATTCGTACCAAAACCCATGGAAACAATTGCACCACAGGAACTCCGCCCGGACGTGCGCCAAACGTGGCGATATTCAGCACCCTCGTCGTTGGCCACGAGCGGAATATATACCCAGAAAGACCTGGACGCATTACGGGACCACGTCATGTTCCCGGCAGAAAAATCTGCAGTCTTGAACACATTGGCC